CCCATACGTTTAAACTAAACTGGCGTTGATGTCTTGAATGCACAATAACATGTGGGTTTTCTTCATCCCAATTATGATTATCATGAAAACTGAATATAGCATCCCTGGTGAAACTATCTTACTAGAGTTTGCTCTGCTTATAAAATTCATTATATCTCATAAACAGAAGACAGACAGGACATACATTTATATAACTATTTTTCATTATTTTTAGGTGTACAATCAGCTCTCGAAGTGGGTCCCACGAGTTACGAGACATCCTATATAAAAAAAAACTTAAATACATACGTCTCATTTTGTACTAATTTCCACTTGTCTGTCTCTTCATTTGCCTGTGCAATAAATTTTCGAGATTGTAAAGAGACTTTATGGACACCGTGAGCATACAGAGATAACATCGAACGCACGAAATATTATTTCTCGCCCGGTAGGTATTCGAGCCGGGTGAAAATCTGGCGGACGACTACGAGGAGGAATCCAGCAGCAGCGCTGGATATCACACGGACGAGAGCTGCAGCCCGACGCCGGAACCGTCGGTCAGAAACCGCTGCACGATCCTCCGGCTGGCAGAGAATTTTTCATGTTTAACATCCGGCGACGTGACCGCGGAACGACTGGCCGAAAGATACGCGGCGCTCTACGACCAGGCGCATTTGCATACCCTGGATGCCTTGGACGCCATGCAACCGCTGAAGGACGCCCACGACTTGAAAGCCAAGATACTCTATTCGGTGGTCGTGGTAAGTGGCACTTTATGCAAAGTAGATATAATAACCGCGCCACGGTTAATGCGCTTGCAACTCTGCCCGTCAAAGAGACTGATACCCTGGTTAACGACCCGGTCGTTAGAGAGACAGTGGCCCCCCCTAGTTAGGCACAAATTAATGACCGAATGGCAGAGGAATTAGACGAAGAGACATTCAGTCTACGAGCGATTCAGTGCTTCAAAGTCTGTCAAACGTCATGATGGGCATGATTTTCTTTTTTGTTATTCTTCCAGTTCGTCGCGTTTTCTTCGTCGTTCTATCGTTGGAGGGATTTTTTTCACATCGAAGACAATGTAAAGACGATTCTCGTTTGCGCGTTTGAGTTATCGTCGTGTTTTTTCTATCGCTATATCTTCTATTTATACATGGTTGGAGGGATTTTTAACATTTTTGCGGTGGAATGACGTTGGCCACGCACGTCGGGAATCCTTTTGTCCCAAAATTGCAACATTTTCTCAGTTTCGAGTATATTCAAATGTAACCAAGTTTATTACTTCTTAATCATTACGTGCTTACGAGTTCAGAAGGAAAAGAAAGCGACGGGTTATTGTATACGGCTCGGTCACTCGTTATGGTCCGCGAACCAGTTGCCAGCGCGAGGGGTTAAAGGGACACCTACGCTATCGTTAGAAAGCACATCCAGAGGAGCACGTCCAGTTATTTTTGGTTAGAAACAGAAAGTAAGGTAAGGTTTTCAGTTAGGAAATTACACACGAAGAGGAAACAAGTCCATTTTTAATATTATTACATTTGAGCGAAGAGTGTATTTTAATATAACATAAGAAAAAGGATGAGAGAGTGATGCTATAGGAATATCTACTTGATTAAAATTGAAACAAAACGAACTTGTGGAAAGAGATGCGATTAGATTAATTAATTAATTGCATTATCGAAGACAGATATTAACGTGTGGGACATTAAGGACTAAAAGAAAATAAAATACACCTGGAAAAAGACATCAAGATACAATAATTTCTTTTGTCTTCGTTCAGTTTCTTCTAAATAACGAAATTAACAGTTTGATTAATATTATTATATAATAACAAATATATAATTATATATAGTAATAAATATGATACTATTATAATAAATATATAATATTATAATGATATTATTACATAATATTATTCTATAATATAATAATAATATATAAATATGATTATTATATAATAATATGAATATAGAGTTACATTTGATTATTTATAGTTGTTAAACACTTGAAATCATTCTCGCAGTATTATATAATAATAAATATATAATATATATTATTATTAATAATATTATAATGATATTATTTTATAATAATAAATATAATAATAATATATAAATATGATTATTATATAATAATATGAATATAGAGCTACATTCGATTATTTATAGTTGTTAAACACTTGAAATCATTCTTGCAGTGTGTAGTACATGTTGTACGAAATGTACAGCCATAAAGTTTCGTTAGAGAACTTTATTCGCCAAAGTTTCACCGTGGCTTTACGACTCTCTGTTACGGGCACGCTAATCAATTCTACATGCACCCACGTTTCTAACGATTATTTTACGACGCCAAAAAAATTTATAACGACCGCTCGTTTTCGCTGTTGCCCGATTTACGCAACGTTCCGCTTCTACAAGTTTCCCGCAACGAGATAATTTGCTCGAACAGCGGCGCTGTTTAAAAGAATATTTCTATTTCAGAAGACATAAAACTCGATTTGTGAAACACAAAGCTATCAAATTACTGAATTCGAAGTAATATCGATGATCTTTTGGTCAGTGTCTTACTGATAGATTGGAAACTGAACGACAAAGTAGTTTCACTATCTTTGAAATTTTCTTATCGTCGACTTTTCTTTTTTTTTTTTTTTTTTTTATCATTTAAACACAACGATTTGGTGTTTACTGGCTCTAGTTTCAATTTAATTCTGTCAATTCGATCATTTGATTCTAAATTGTCTAAAAAGAAGAGGAGTCAAATTTTCTGACAACTTCGAATAAAAATACTCCCTTAGATCTTCTCGCGTACGAGGATTACTAATTTCTCATTCTTCCTTCATAGTCTTGCTCTTCGAG